ATTTCCATATAAGGAATGGGACTGACGGAAAGGTCTGTCACCGCCCTGTTCTGCATGCTGCAGCGAAGTGTACTTGACTCGGTTGGACTTAACATGTCAACCCAATTAGCATAGAAGTATCCATTCTGGCGTCTACAAATTTTGCTGGTAGGAAATATCTTGCTTAATTAATCTGATGGTGTGTTCAAAGATTTAAATCTTTAAATCTTTAAAAACTTTAGTGGTGCCTTGAGGAAAAAGATAATTTGCGTATTTAAATAATTCACAAATTATCCATTTTAGAATTTTTGTGTTTAAAACCTCTACACTTCTTTGCTTTCCAACGAACAACATATCCACTCTTGAACATCTTAAGTCATTCGTCGCATGACGGTAAAAATGACTAACTGAAAAAGGACTCATAGCTTCTAAAAAATCTCCTCTCCCCGCTTGTGCTGAGGAATTAGCTTTAGCTAACCACGACTATGCTGCTAAAGAAGTCACTGCYGGAACCTCTAAAAGGAAAGACCCTTTCTCTCCTGCAAAAAACCCACCAGTGGTCAAGAGAAAAGATGCCAAAGCAGATGATGATTCAAACGGSATGTCTGCTGTCCTGGATGCTATAAAGCAGCTGACCGATAAGATTGACACGCTCGGCTGTCAACTTCAGCAAAACTCAAGAATGCTGGCTAGCATCGCTAAAGCTGTTGAATTCAAYGCTGCAGAAATTAAAGATTGCCAAACGCGGCTCAGGTCTGCGGAAAAAGATGTGGCAGCTCTTAAAAAAGATCAAACAGAGCTTTTGGAGCGAGTCCTGGAGCTTGAGAGAWACAAGCGGCGCTGGAATTTAAAAATCTGAGGTTTGAAAGAGAAAGATGGTGAAAATATTCGTGAAGTGGTGACGAGCCTACTGGTAAAGATTTCCCCCTCCTGGGCTTCAAACATCAACCTCATTGTGGATTCAGTGCACCGCCTTGGCAGACACATGGAGAATCAAACCAGACAAGTCATCATCCAGTTCAGCCAAAGAATACACCGTSATGAACTGTGGAGAATAGCCAAGGATTCGGCACTTTGCAAGGAGCTGTGCATTGCCTTCATAAAAGATCTTTGCAAGGCTGACAGGGATTCGCGCGCAGCAGTGTGGCCAAAGATACAGCAAACACGAGCAGAGGGAAAATGGGCTTACCACTGAGGTGGGGTCGGATACATAAATGGACAAAAGATTGCCTAACTGAGTTATAGTGACGTTCTATCTCCAGTGGGAAAGTTAAAGTCACAATAGTTAATTAACCATGTTGGTTATGTTGGAAAGTTAAAGTTCTAATTTTTGACATAAATGGGACATTATGTTTTCTGTTCAAAAAGGCTTATTTGATCACAGTTGTTCTGCGATTTAATATTTGTGATATMTTTTTGTACTTGTTAAAACCCCTTTTTTTCTTTGCTATGAATGTTTTGTTTTCTTGTTTTTCTCTTAATGTTAGGGGCATAAGAGACATCACCAAAAGAAAATCTATATTCCTGTTCTGTAAGTGGGAAAGAGCCAGTTATTTTTTTCCTACAAGAAACTCACTCTAAACCAGAATATGAAAGGTTTTGGATAAATCAATGGAGGGATAAAAATTATTTTTGATCGCGGCACAACTAAATCTTCAGGTTTAGCTACTCTTTTCTATAACTCTCCTGGGAATTTATTGACCTCTAAATCTAGTAAAACTGGTCACTGGCTAATATGTGTTTTAGATCATAACGAACATCATACTATCTTAGTGAATATCTATGGTTTTAACTCCCCTGGGAAAAACAAATTGTTACTCTCAGAAATCTCTGAAAACATTGAAGTTCCTAAAGTGTATCTTACCC